CGCCGGCGGGGGGGGCAGGCCACACGTGAGTTTTAATGGCACCGGCACTCTAGGGCTGCCATGGCAGCTGCTGCCGCTGATGCCTCACACCGAATCACTGCACTGAAGCTGGAGGAAGAGGGAAGACGGACTACGGCCAGGCTGTTTGGGAGCGCTGTCCCGCTGCCAAGGACAGAGAAAGAGGGAGAGAGGGGGAAAGAGAGAGAGAAGGAGAGGGAAGGCCAGGGCGAAGAGGTCGGGAGAGGGGGCGCTAGTGAGTGTTTGGTGTGCGGCGCTCTGTTCGCCTCACAGGAGAAGCTTCGTATCCACACTCTGAGTCACACGGGAGAGAAACCCTTCCACTGTTCACACCCACACTGTCCCAAGGCCTTCAGCTCAAAATACAAGCTCTTCAGGTAGAAAACATTCCACTCCATTGAAAACAATCATTCAAAAATCACGTATTATTTCAGGTGACCCCATTTGACCCCACATTGGGTTGTGACCCGAAGGTTGAAAAACACTTATATATAATGTGTTTTTACACTTTGATCATAGGTCTATTTTGATGGTATTTTCATGGTAAATTTTAAAACTTTGTTTCTTTTATTAATTGTCTCCAAACCAAGGTTGGGTCTCTTAAAACTCACTCACGCAAATTACCCCAAGTCTAACTGTTAAAGAAGCAGCAGCTCTGAATGAAATACATTGAAGGTCTGCTTTACATAAGACGCTAATGACAAAAGAGTCGTAAGTGTAAAAATTTAAATTCTTCAAAAATGTTCTTGAGTTTCTACTTTTCTGTTGTCCCAGGAAACGTTTCGACTCATTCTGACTCCTCCACTAATCTCAGTCTTCCTCCACTTCTGTGCAGGCATATGGCCACACACTCTCCACAGAAGACCCATCAGTGCTCGTTCTGTGAGAAGATGTTTCACCGCAAAGACCACCTGAAAAACCACCTGCAGACTCATGACCCCAACAAGGAGGCCTTCAAGTGTGAGGAGTGTGGAAAGCACTACAACACCAAGCTGGGATATAAGCGCCACATGGCCATGCATTCTGCCACAGCCGGGGATCTGACCTGTAAAGTGTGCATGCAGAGCTACGAGAGTACGCCCGTTCTCCTGGAGCACCTCAAGAGCCACTCCGGGAAATCGTCAGGCGGTGCCAAGGAGAAGAAGCACCCGTGTGACCACTGCGATCGCCGCTTCTACACCAGGAAGGACGTGAGGAGACACATGGTGGTCCACACGGGTCGCAAGGACTTCCTGTGCCAGTACTGCGCCCAGCGCTTCGGCAGAAAGGATCACCTCACGCGTCACGTGAAAAAGAGCCACTCGCAGGAGCTGCTGAAGATCAAGACGGAGCCTCCGGACATGTTGGGTCTTCTAGCTTCAGGATCACCACCGTGCTCTGTGAAGGAGGAGCTGAGCCCCATGATGTGTGGCATGGGTCCCAATAAGGATCCTATGATGGGTAAACCTTTCCCCAGCGCAGCTCCATTTCCAATGGGCATGTACAACCCCCACCATCTTCAGGCCATGTCTAACTCCGGGGTTAGTCATCCACACCCGTCCCTGATGCCCAGCCCCCTGTCTGCAGCCATGGGCATGGGATGTCACATGGAATCTCCCGGGCCTCTTCACCCACACTCCCATCACCATCACCATCATCACCACCATCACCACCATCACCATTCCCCTCCGCTGCCCACCCACCACCAACCCCAGGCCCCCCAGCAGCAGCCCCAACCCCAGCCTGCCGCCAAATACCAGCTGGGATCTACCTCATACCTGCTGGACAAGCCCTTGAAAGTGGAGATGGAGAGCTTCCTCATGGATCTGCAGAGTGGTTTGCCAGGGCCGCTCCCCTCTGCAGAGCCCCACGCTGCTGCCTCGCCCCCTAAAGACGGACTGGAGCCCACCTCGGGCCTTACAGACGAGCTTTGTGGGGACCCCCTCCTGTCCAAGAGCCCTGCGGTAATCGCTGAGTCTTTGTGTGCTGCTAACATGGACTTCTCCCACCTGCTGGGGTTCCTGCCCCTCAACCTGCCCCCCTACAGTGCCCCCATGAGTACTGGAGGCCTAGTGATGGGCTACACCTCATCTGCGACCACGTCTTCATCCTCTTCCTCTTCCTCGTCATCTCTTCACGCTGCCGAACCCCACGCCGCGACAGTCGCAGGGGCGGCAGCCGCTGTCGCAACGGTACCTCTTACCTCTTTGCAACCGCAACCTCAGGAGCAGCAGAGCTCCAGTGGGGGTCTAGGTCTCGGACCCTTGCACCCACTCCCCCAAGTGTTCAGCTCCAGCCTTAGTACCACCACACTGCCTCGCTTCCACCAGGCCTTTCAATGAAGGAGAAGGTGTAAAAAGCCCAGCCCCGCCTGGGTAGAGATGGTCTCCACACCTGCCTTAGCTCAGCTCAGCTCAGCCAGGGTTTATCGGGCTAACCCTGTTCACAGAGCCCAATCAAAAAGTGGGAGAATTAGAATATCACAATGAACACTTAGAAAGCCTTAAATGGAAGCGCACAAAAGCTTTTGATTGAGCCTTGAAAGGAAGTTCAAATGCCTTTAAGCAAAAAAGAAAAGAAAAGAAAAGAAGATGAAGCAGCTTTTATTTGGGCTTTTACCCCTATCCCATACTACCTACCTAACTAACTACCTACCTACCCAACTACCTACCTACCTAACTAACTACCTACATACCTACCTAACTACCTACATAACTACCTAACTACCTACATACCTACCTAACTACCTACCTACATACCTACCTAACTACCTACATACCTACCTACCTGACTACCTACATACATACCTAACTACCTACCTACCTAACTACTTATCTACCTAACTACCTACATACCTAACTAACTACCTACCTAACTACCTACATACCTACCTACCTAACTACCTACCTATCTATCTATGTATGTATCTATCTATTTATTTGTCTGTTGGGGTCCTCGAGTTACGTCAGAGTTCCTCGGCGACATACAGTACCATACATAAGTACCCATGTCACTCATGTGCTATCTCAGTGGTAACCATATAATCTAGGGCTCAAAATCAACAGAAGAGTCTGATTTACGCTTGGGAGCTGTGAATGAAGGGCCAAAAGTTCCCCAAAGAACAACACAGACGAGAGAAAGCGAATGTTGCACAATCCGATGTATGGCATACGTTCGGTGAATGTAAACAACAGCCATCTTCCACGTATAGTGCCATGTAACGATGTATTCGTTAGCTCAGTTAACTGGTCCCTGTTGTTGTTGTTTTTGTTTTTTTTTACGGCCGTATGTCAGAATGCTGGAACAAGAATTTCTACAAGGAGATGGCAAACGCAATGTAAGCATGAAACGCTGAAAGTCAAGGACATTGTAAACAGACGACCCCTCTTTAATATATTTAAATCTAAAAAAAAAAAAAAAAAAAAAGCAAAGATCATTGCAATCAGTTTTGGATTCTAACCTTTCGAGGACGCCTCTTTTGAAAAAAGGTCTATTATATTACATTAAAGGTTTATTATATTCCTTTACACCCCCCCTCTCAATATCCACCATTACATTTCATTTATCATTTGGTTTAACTATATCACACTGTAAAACACAGTTGGGGCGTCTTCATGGTTTGATCATGTCAGGGTGTGGCACTCTCAGAAAGATGAATTCAACATCCTCTTTCTAACCTACGAGGACATGATTTTGGTAAGTTTTTTTTAATAAGCGTTTTTTTTTTTTTTTTTTGTGTCAACATGTGGTCCACAATCACTGTCAGCCACGGGTTCGTCATTACTACATTTGTTTCGTGTTGCCTTTCAGGACTTGAAAGGAGTGGTAACCAAAATCTGCACGTTTTTGGGGAAAAACCTCAGTGAGAAGGCGTTGGATGAAGTCGTGGAGAAATCAAGATTTAAGACGATGAAAAATGACCCGAAGGCTAATTATGAGTTTCTGCCCAAAGACAAGATCACTGGAAACTTCATGCGTAAAGGTATGAAATATAATTTGACAAAACATCACGAACATGAAGGAATGTTCGCACTTTCAAAATTAATCAAGCGGGCTGGGTTTTTGGCATGTGGGACGTACGTTTGACACCCCTGATGTAACCTACTGTATTTAGGTGGACAAAAAAAAAGGTGGGGCACATACAGGTTTATCGCTATTCCAACCGAAGCTACGTCTGAAAGTAACAAGCTCAGAATTGAATTTTTTTTTTTCTTCTAATGTTTGTATCACTGCAGGTCAGATCGGTGACTGGAAGAACATCATGACTGCTGCTCAGAGTGAAAGAGTGGATTTGATGCTACAGGAGAAACTGGGTGATCTGTCTCTGACATTCATCTGGGAATAAACCCTGGCCACTTTAAAACTCAAATTCGTGCATTTCACTACAAACAAAATGGTAAAACAAGGGCAAAGAAGAATGAATGCACCAAATTGATAAAGAAATTAAATTAAAAAGACAGCAACCAACATATAGAAATAACAAAAAAAGTGGTTGATGAAAACAGACACAGACACTACTGCAACCAACATATAGAAATAACAAAAAAGTGGTTGATGAAAAAAGACACAGACACTACTTTTTTTTACCTGTTGTAAAATTCCAAAGATTTATTGTTAATATTTGATTCCGTGTAATAAAGCAGAACCATAAAACACCAATGTGTTGCCAATGTGTTGCCTTTATTGTATTCAAAGCTGTTTCTGTCCCAGGTAACTTTGGTAACTGGAGCCGATGTTGGACCTCAGTTATCTTCATCTAAAACAAGGACAAGAGCAAAGCAAAATTTCTATTAGTATTCGATTCCAGAACTGGTGCTGCCTCATAAAACAAAATCAAGAGCGATAGTAATTCCAAAGGTAAAAAGCAGGTGAGCCAAAAGCAGCAAATGCAACATTTTCTTCGTTATTCGACGGCTAGGTACATCATTGTGATGTTATGATTTCACCTTCTTCCTCCTCTTCCTCTTCATCCTCCTCTTCCTCCTCCTCCTCGTCTGAGCTGAAGGTTCCATCAGGCAGGCTGTACACACGGATCACTTGCTGTAGATTTAAAAAAAAAAAAAAAAAAATTAAAATTAGAAGATTCTTTCTGGTCGCATCTTGTTCTAATTTGACTAAGGAAAGTGAACTCTGACCTTGTTGGGATCCTTGAGAATCAGGTACTTGCCCTCATCCAACTTGCGGCAGATGTCAATGACGCAGCGCAGGATTCCCCAGGCGTTTTCCATGCTCAGGTTAATCTGGCTGGCAAACTCGTTGGGTTTGAACTGCTGAGTTCCAAGGACGACGTGGCGAGCCGAGTCCTTTACGTGGTATCTAGACACGTACCTATAGAGGAGCGAGAGCAGTTCCGAAATTCGGTCAATAACCCCTGCTGAATTCATTTAGAAATACCTAGCTTACCTAGCTCATCTTACAGCTGATAGCTAGCCCTGTCCTGACTACTGAGCAGCCAACCGATATTTTCGGCTCTATATTTGCATAATTATGTAATATCGGTAAGAATCGTTATAGGTTTTTACTCTGATAACGGAAATCCCGATAACGCAATGCTTGTGTTTCACCACATGATGGCGTATATGAACGTGAAAACAGCACACCACTGCTCACAATGTGTCCTCTTTAAGCCATCACCTTAGTGAGCTGGCAGCACTTAGCTTCCTTAACCACCGGGCCGCTACCCCGCTATATTACATATCGGATATCGGCAAAAAGTTTGTATCGAACAACAAACTTTTTTTTTTATTGCTCCTTATTGCATGACAACATACATACATCGACGCAAATTGAAGCCTAGATCCTAACAAGAACAGTTAGGCTTGACTGAAGTCCTGTTCGTGAAGGTTGAAATTTGAATCTGCATTTTCAGTGCCAATAAGAGCCAGTTTTTCCCCCCCCGAAGACGGCAACATTTTTGAGCTATATTCATAAATTCAAGCAGGATGCACCAGAGCGCTTGCATGTGATACAGTAGTGTACTCACCCCAGTTTCAGGTACTCTGACCCTGCCAACATGGCACAGCACGTCCACCGAGCCAGTTTGTAGCTATTATTTTTCAGCTCAGTAGCCAGGACAGCTCCTCTCTGCGAGTCCAGCTTTTGACGCCAGTCCACACCATTGCAATACTGACGGAAGAATAATTAGCAAAGGAAAACGGTTAAAGAGAAAAGAAAAACAAAAATGAATTTCTGGGGACAACAACGTATGCTCCATTAGGAACACTGACTCTTCCTTTCCCCTCTTACCCTGGAGTCCCATTCATTTAGAGTCTTGACGTTGATGAAGGACACTTCTCCATTTGCACCAGTCATCACACCGTCATGCTCACAGCGAACAATAAGATCGATGTCTTCCCCAAGCTTCCAATGACGGTACCTGAGACCAGACACAGAATGACATTTTGTCATTTATTTCTTTAATTCATTTATTTGACAAAGCTAACAGGGATGTCTTTTAGTTTATCTTTTGCTATATTTTTACTGTTAGTTATTTTTTTTAGATTAGAAAATGTTTTTTTTTAAATCATGAAAATAATGAAAATATTGGAGATTAAAAACCGTATTTTACCGTAATTACCGTAAAATACCGCAATATAGCAAAACTCTCAGCCATAAGGACAAAATTATGCAGTCGTTTTAGAACAGCAGTTTTCAATAGTTGCGGCGCACCTGCGCTAGAGGGCGCCAAAGTGTCACAGGAAAGGCCTGCATGGTTGTATGCATGTAATGAGATTATTTGCTGCTGCAAATTAGATTAGAAAATGTTTTTTTAATCATGAAAATAATGAAAATATTGGAGATTAAAAACCGTATTTTACCGTAATTACCGTAAAATACCGCAATATAGCAAAACTCTCAGCCATAAGGACAAAATTATGCAGTCGTTTTAGAACAGCAGTTTTCAATAGTTGCGGCGCACCTGCGCTAGAGGGCGCCAAAGTGTCACAGGAAAGGCCTGCATGGTTGCATGCATGTAATGAGATTATTTGCTGCTGCAAATTAGATTAGAAAATGTTTTTTTAATCATGAAAATAATGAAAATATTGGAAATTAAAAACCGTATTTTACCGTAATTACCGTAAAATACCGCAATATAGCAAAACTCTCAGCCATAAGGACAAAAATTTGCAGATTTGCCATTCGTTTTAGAACAGCAGTTTTCAAAAGCTGCGGCGCACCTCCGCTAGAGGGCGCCAAAGTGTCACAGGAAAGGCCTGCATGAACTTGCATGCATGTAATGAGATTATTTGCTGCTGGAAAAAATGATTTTTTTTCAGAAAAGTTTTCTTTAAAAAGTTGTGAAAATAAAACATTTTCAAATACATTCTATCGGTTGTTATTGAAACTGGCTTTTATAGAGTAGGTACTCACGCTTACCCAATTTGAAAACCCGTTTTAGAACATTCTACCTCTGGGCAATTTGTATCAAACAGCTCAATACCAACATGGAGGATAAACGTCTCATGGTTTTGGAGCATACCTGTAGGCCACAGATGCAACCTCATTCTTGTCAATGTCCTCCTCCACAAATGGGTTGGGGTTAAGGAACTTAAACTTTTCCTGCCCCTGGAAAAAAAAGAAAGGAGAAACTTGTTATATTCTAATGGCATAACGTCAATTTATTTCTTCAAAGGCCAATTCAGATCTGTTTTAACGTTTTATCGGCAGATGATGCCTACAGGGCGTTACCTTACCATTCGCAAACACTGCTGGCTGAAGTTGTGGTTGATGTATGTGGCCTCCATGGCCAGGTTACGAGGGGAGTTAAAGGAGTTCCCCTCATCCTGTGGTGGCTCATTGGCCGTCTCGCTCACAGTAAGCAGATCTAGTGGAGGGAGAAGAGACTTCAGTACTCCAGAGTTTTCAGGATAACAAAAAAATAAAAAATAAAATCACCGTTAAAGACCAACCAAATCCTCACCAAAATCAGAGTTGTCTCTTTTATCGAAGAACAGCTTGTTGCCAACCCTTTGCACAACAATGTCCCAGGAGTTAACGGAACGTGTGCAGCACATCAGGGTGGCCAAGATGGCGTCGGTGGCAAACACATTACCCTGAGTCTTAGCCAACTGTAGAATGGTACAAGCAAAAAAAAAAAAAAAAAGGAAAATTCAGATTATTTTACATTGTGTTATGTCTTTATATACACAGTCCAAATGGATAAACTTAAAGGTTTAAATGTTACTTAAACTTTTTGATCTCCGTTGATTTACTTGTCTAAATAAATGAAACGAAATCCAAGTTGTCATTTCCATATCCAGCATAAAGGAATATACAGTAGAAGCCAAGACAATTAGGCCGCTAACATGTTATTAGCTTAGATATATTTTACTGCAAGCTAAGAAAGCTGAAAGATACTATTTTAAAATATAGCTAACCGTAAAATTAAATACGGAGGAGCCCCCCGTTGTTTTGGTTTTTTTTATGTGTGTAGGCATGTTGGTTTTATCACTATGCTAACAAGCACGTAATAAGCTTTAACATGCCAAAAAACACTTTGGGCTCAGTTATCTGACCACAGATCACTGTATCATATCTGCGATCACTTTCAGTCTGAGCCAAATGTCCTAATACTTTGTTGCTCAACACAGAACTCAGAGAAGTTTTCCTTCCTTCGGCGTCCAACAAAAGAGTTTGTCTAATACTTTGTTGCTCAACACAGAACTCTGCGTTTTCCTTCCTTCGGTGTCCAACAAAAGAATTTGTTTCACCTTGCGGATGACGGGATCATCAGTGGTGGTAACGGTGTGGAAGATTCTCTTGATGCTTTTCAAAGGTCTTTCATTACGGGTGGTGATGCGGTCAAAAGCCTTATCGTAATACTCCAAGCCTCCACAGCATTCGCTGGAAGAAAACAAAAACAAAAAACAACGACAACAAATAACTATCTGCACACTGTACGCCAACTAAGAAACACATATAAACCGGGGTAGACCGACAAGAGCTCTTACATGTCAACGGGGTCAGCCACCTCCATGTATCTCATTTTCATTAGTCTGGGAAAGTCCATCTCCTCCTTCACTTCCCAATCGCTTCTAACCTCCACAGAAGAATCTCTGGGCTTCAGCTGAGCCTTGGTGAAAGGACAAAACATGTTAGGAATAACATGATGGCGTGTTATTCCATAGGGTTATTAAAGCCGGTCAAGCGATCCGCACCTGAGATTTTTGGTCCCATTTCTGACGAACCCCAAACTGCTTCTGGAACTTTTTCTGCAGTCGCAGACGATCCCTGAGAAAGCGTCACAAAAAAACAATTCAGTCGCCATGTGGAATTGTGACTTTGACTTTTTTTTTTTAACTTTGTTTGAGGTGCTTTGAGGGGATTTCCAACCACAGTAACACAACTGTACCTCTCTTTTTGCTTGGCGCTCTTCGGGAGCGTCTGCATGTTAAATTGGGTCAGGTTTCTGCGGTCCTTGTCCCTGCGCAGGTTCCTCTGTATAAAGATATGTCACACGTTTTACTTTGAGGCACTTAAGTGTGGCAGACTATTACAGGGAAAATTCGTTTTTGCAAGTTTTAGGCTTTACTTTAGGCAAATAAAAAAAAAATGTAAACAAGCATGAACCATGGTTAAGTAGGATGTTGCCACAATGAGTGCCTTAAACAACAACAACAACAAAAAACACAAAACAGGTTTAAATATATTGATGGTCATATAATCATGAACATCAGGCCAACAATGGCTCAATTTAAACAATCTCTTATCGTTGCAACTATGTAATGTTTCGGAAATTGTGTCATTATGTGAGATTATGACATTTTAATTAACACAACGCACGTGTTGGAAAAGATAAAAACTAAATAAAAAAAAGAACACATTCTTAGCAATTTTGTCATGAGCGGCAAAAAAAAAAAAAAATCCCAAAACCAAACAAAAAACACCACAGTTACCACCAAAGTGTGGACCACCCGTACCTGAGCAAACCTCATGCGGTTCCTCTGGTAGGCCGTCTTCTGGGTCTTGGCTGTGTCCACCAACTGGAAGCTTGTCTCGTCCTCCTCATGAAAGTAGGCATACTGACTGCCTCCTCCAAACTGTGAGGAGTACTTGTCTAAAAGACAAAACGGAGAGGTATCGTCAGGAATGATTCGTTTTTGGGATGTTTTAAAAAGACTTTGTTATAATGGATTTAAATGGAAAAAGGCGACCGGCTCACTTTTATGTTAGCCTCTAGGGTTGTTCTTGTAAAACGCAAAGACTTTGTTATAATGGATTTAAATGAAAAACGCTTGAATACGCTTGAACTAATGAGTCAGAAAATAGTCGTGTCAAGGACTGCTAGTCTTTCATATAGCTCTGGATAATTTTCATTCCAATGAGCATATGTATTGTAAACTTGTAATAATCCACAACAGCAGTTGGTCCCAATAGTTGTGGCCCGGCACAGTCTCATTTGACCAGTGGGTAGTGTGAGGAAAAAAAAAAATTCCGAGGAATCCACATCAAACAGACAACAGTGCAGTACCATGTTTTCAACTCCCATTCGCCGCGTAAGCTTTAGGGGGGGCGCTGTTTTACATACATTATAAAAGAGCTCCTTAAACGAGAGAAAAGGACGATTGTGTTTTTATCAAGTTATGCTTATATTCTCTTTCCTTGGACACCACCAGAAAACACACAACTGCATTTGACCAAAAAAAAAAAAAGAGAAGAAAATAATAATAAACACTATTTTTGTTTGTATTATTTTTTTGTCATTTGTGATCTCTGTCAGTCATTTCAAGCTGTACTGTCTCACGCCACCAGTGTTTATTTTGCTGAAAACTATGACGAAGGGGGTTCATGGATCTCATTTGCCATGCCCCTAATGCAGTGCAAGAAGCAGTCTTAGTGCAAAAAAATAATGAAAAAGAAAAAAAGAAATTAATAAATCCAGTGGCTGAAATGTTGGCGTTCCCAAAGCCAAAACAATGACAGCTTTATCAATTTTTTTTATGTCTCACATCAAGCATCACTCGAGTGATGGTTGCGTAATTATTGACCAATTTGCTGTTAATAAACATGAATTAAATCTACTACTGTCACTCACTGGTGTATCTCTTGTCTTGATAGGTTGCACCAGTCCAGTCAGCAACCTGGTAATCAATGAAACAGAATGTAATGATAACCATGACCAGGACAACGTGGATTCAACGCCCTGCCGTAGCAAAACAAACCTTTCCGAGACGGTCCCCTTTGCTGAAAGGCTGGTATGGCATGTCCTTGAACTTCTCCGGGACTGCACATGGACCCCATCCTGATGGATTGTCCTGAATCACAGGGGCATTAAACTTTGCCATGTCCTGCAGTCAGTCTGCGAAAATACGAGTTAAAAAAATTAAAACAAGAAACAAAAAAAGAACTCCATGCAACGTGTGCCAAACCGACTAGGATGTTAACAGTCTCAGACAACAACCAGCACTAATCTCCTCAGCAGTGCCTTTAAGCAAAAAGACACTGCTCAGATTGCGCAGTGGGCTAGTCATCACTGACCATAACGTGAACGCTGCGCATTCACCATAGCAACAAACCTGAAATGTGTTTTAATGAGCATACGTAAATGTACTTTATTGATCTCAGGCTGGGAAATAACAGAACATAATTGTCTAACACTTACTTTGTCAAATTTGATAGTTAGCAGATAGTTTTGGACACATTTTAAATACATCTTATATATTATAAAATCAAAATACGCAGATCATGTCAACACAAAAACCACGATGATCAACACACAAAAGGACTATGAATTAATTACATTTTAGTGAATAGTCATACGTGCAATATTTATACAATTTTGTACATATTATAATATATGAGTATATTATCGTGACATCACTTTTCATACGAGCATTCTCTACGAAACATTTTATTTTCAATCCGATAGAATAGACAATCTAGCATAAATGTTTTTGGTGTAGTACTCGATTCAAAGGTACATATAGCGCTGTCACTACGTAACATACTGACATTTTCTGCCGTCTGCGGTTCCACATTGACGAATAACAGTTTATCTGGATTTAGCTGGAATAAATATCGATTGAAAAAAAAAACGGCCGGCGTAAATTTTGTTTAAACAATAGAGCTGGTCGAAAAGGCCTTCTCTGTGGCTACACTAACGACACCCTTATTATCATCAACCCTGTAGCACCCTGTGTTCAACAGCAGCTAGCAGCGACGACGCTAAAGCCAGTCACGCTGCGAGGAGACCGCCTTAGCATAGCTAAGCTAAGCTAAACAAGCGCTGGGTTGATCGCAACACTACAGGTTTTGGAATTATATTCTATCGACACTGGTGAAACAGTGTGTGTCGTGTGAATGCGCGTGTCCATCAATATCCTCACCGTTGACGACGTGTCGCCGCCTCGATCAATTCTCCTTTGATCGGTCCAAGACTGTGTAAAACTCCGACACGGCGCCGGAGCGAAAGGAAGTGGACGGCTGCCGTAAAGCACGACAGTGGTTTGTGCTTCCTGTTGTATGACGACAGCAGCTGTCGTAAAGTTGTTATACATGCACGCGCGGCGTTTATTTTGCCGACTTATATATTTAGCTACTTCTGCAAATGTTTTCTTGAGTCTGTATGTATTCAAAAAATATCAAAAAATAAAAAAATTAAAAAAAAATGTTTACATTTGAAGTTGAAACCAGACTACCCTGTCCATGCCTGTAAATTTGAAGCATTTTCATATTTCTGTATTATGAACAGGTTTACGTTCAACAACGTTTTAAAAAGGTGATTTGCGATTGAAGCATTTTCATATTTCTGTATTATGGACAGGTTTACTGGATTAGACAATCCAACAACAACGTTTTGAAAAGGTGATTTGCGAAATATAATAATAAATAAAAACTATATAAATATAATCGATGTATTAAAAAAACCCGGTGTGTTTACTGATTCTCTGTGTATTGTGTCTTAATCGGCTGCCTGGATTGTCCGTCGAAATGTCTTTGTCATTTGCAGTGCCGTTGTAAGTTGATTGTCACCTCTGCATACACAACAAGCAAAGGTCGGTTATTACCACGGGGAGCTTGGGAATCACACAGGCCAAACAACAATATTTAGAAATGAATTCACACAAATGAGCAGAAATCCCTACAGTAAACACACAGACACACACACACACACACACACGACTCAGCACAACAAATCTTTATTATACCGCACGCTCCAGGGGCCTGGCAAATAAAGGATCCGCCAGCTCATTCCTTTTTTTTTAATGCGTCCTTAATGATGCTTCTGAGCCTGGCGGTGCATCTGTGAATGTGTGGAGCATAGGGGTGGGTGGGCTGAAGAAAGCTAGAGAGCAGCAACAGCTGAATATTACTCGGCTAAATCTAAAAATAGAGAGTATATCGTAGTAGAGCAGGAAAAGGGAGCTGAATATGAAGGATATGAAGTATGAAATATATATATAAAAACAATGAAGGATATGAAGTATGAAATATATACAAAAATTTTTTTTTTTCAAAACAGACATCATGGTTTGCAGCATTTTTTTTTTTTCCCAATGTGCAACAGTAAAAGCCTGTTTTCACTCAACGAGTGCCATGAGGTGGTTTTATTTTGGACACTGACAGTGACTCATCTTTAAAGAGCACTGCATATGCAGGAAAAAAAAAAAAAAACAGGTTCTGGTCTGATAGATAGCTATCTTTGCTTCCCCAGTACCTGCAGCACTTCTTGCAGGCTCTCTAAATACCTTTGGCTTGCCTTGGTTTAGATGTGGGTTAGTTAGGCCAAGTTCCCAAGACCTAGTTTTTTTTTTTACCCTTTTCCAGGCCTTGTTTTTGATGGCGGGGACCTCACAGTTTTTGGGATGCCAGTGCTGTCCCTTAGGGGCGGCTTCTGTCTATTTTCCTGCCTCCTTACCTTTTGAATTCATTTTCGTTCCATCATGCTCACATGTATCCTTCGATTCTCTGTTAAACCCTCTCACCTGGTGCCCTGGTTATAAATATATACACCGCCATCGTTGGGTCTGTATGGTTCCCGTTGTTGTGTCGTCTTTGTCTATGCAAGAGTTCCCTGAGTTAAGACTTTTTCCTGTAGGGATGTCCAATAATATCGTCCAACCTTATCGCAAGGTAGCTGGTGATACCCATCTCTACATTCCACATCAGGGATGTCCAATATATGCCCCATGGGCCAAAACCAGCCCACTAGGGGTGTAACCCGGCCAACTTCATGAATTTAAAACAATTTTTAAAAAAACCAAAAAGCATAAAAAAGGGAAAAAACATCGATTTATTGTTATTTATAGGTAATTATGTTATGATTGTACTGGTCTGGCCCACTTGACATTGAATCAGGCTCTATGTGGCCCATAACCAGAATGAGTTTGACACCCATGATATACACCATAATAAACGAGCTTTAAACGTTAGCTTCGGGCCTGGAGCAGATCAGGAAGTAACCACCTCCAGCGTTCCTGGCTTTGTTTCCCTTCCATCTGGTCTCCTTCTCTTCACTCCTTTGCCTCCAAACACATTTGTTTCATATCTTTAAAGGTCTTTGACCAACGGTAATCCAATTTAATTCAATAGGTTGTTGATCTGTTTTAGCCCGAAATGCCCATCCCGAGTCAATTTATACGATATCTGTGAGCCCAAACGGTAGGTTTTAACACAGCTGCGCTAATTTAGCTAGCATACAATGTTAGCTTACCAATTAAAATAAAAAGCAATAAACCTAATTGCTAACCACCGTGAGAAATCCAAATTAATATTTGGACTCTATACATACACTGTATCTGTACATACATATAAGGGTGGACTGCACTTTGTCGTCCAGTGTCCTGCTGGTTTGCCACACCTGCCAGAATAACACATGCTAGCTTACTGCGCGCGCGTGCGGAAAATAAAACACTTCGTTCGGTTGTTAACTAACATTTGATTTACTCATCAGGGCAACATCTTAATCTTTAATAAGGAATTGAAATAAATTCATACTCACTTTAAGAAGATGTGTAGACGTGTTTTATTATCTTTGGCAAAGCTTTTTTTTCTTTTTTTTTTTTTGACATGCCGACTTTCAAAAAAATAAATATTCTGCCCCAAATCTCTACATGTGCCAAAATGTCTCTCCACATTACATTTCCAAGCAAAAAAAAAAAGTTAAATACATAGATATATTTTATATATATGCATACACAAAGCGCATTTACCGATGTAGCAAGGGCGTGTCTTTGTAAAAGTAAAGGATTAAAATGGAAGGCATTTTGCTTCAGTGAATTAAAAAACAGATTTGAATAAATTGTACATATATATTTTTTTTAAATGGTTTTACCACTTAATACAATAAAACAGCAGAAATATTATAAAGGCACACATTGTTTTAATATTTAACAATGCATTTAACAAAATATACAGTTTATACATTACAAACTGGCATTACGACGGCGTGATGACACTTTGGCAGACATTGAGAGTTTTTAAGTATTCGTTATATTTATGTACAGATGACGGGTGATTTGTGGAGGCAATTTGAGGAGAATTTACACAATACACAAAAAGATTTAGCCCATCAGCAAATGGCTGATCACTTGATCAAATCTACCTCAAATGCATTTCTAGGTCTAAGGCCTGTCATTTTGACCATGTAAAATACTTACCGTTATTAATTTTAAAAAAAAAGTAAATTAATTCCTTAAAGTATACTATTCAAAATTAATAAGGCTTTTTAAAATGCCTTGTGAATTACAGTTTGGCACTTCAGTATTATTACCGTAATCTCCGGACGATAAGCCCCTACTTTTTTCACATGCTTTGAACCATGTGGTTTAAACAGTGATGCAGCTAACTAGCAGCGCGCGCGCAAGAGAAGTTCAACGCAGTTTGAGCTCTGCCATGTTGAAATCGTGAGTTGGTTATACAGGAGCAGTTAAAACACTGTTTATGTTCTGTTTCTGTTTACCTCTGCTGAGGACTAGCACAAAGTGAAGGGAGTTAGCCCGGGAGCTAACGTTAGCTTCGGGCCTGGAGCAGATCAGGAAGTCTCTCCTGTGCATTCCAACTTTGATCGAAGCAGGAAAGAGCTAACGTGTAGCTAGCCGTGTGACGGGCAGTGTTCGGAAAAAAGTATTTATTTAACTAAAAGTGAAAACAAAAAAAATCTAGAATGTGAACACCTGCGGCTTATAGAGAAGTGTGGCCTATATATGTACCATTATTTTCTTCTTTTTAAATTTTTTTGGGTTTGGCTTATATTCAGGTGCGCTCAATAGTCCGGAAATTACGGTCCTTTTAAATCATCAATATCTTTTCTAGCAGCATTGCTCGGATTCTTGTCTTCTTTTTAGCAGGGGCAAAAGTGCAGAAACCACCGGACATTTCATTCTCTTTTGAATCCACCGTTGTTTTGTCAGTCATATATGGGAACAGAAGCCTCGCCACTCACAGGGTGGGTCCTTTCTCCGTTAAGTTGTGAGTCCTGCACCGGGAAGTTGCTACTGTTCCCATTGTCTGCTATTCTGTAGATCTCGGTCATTTCCGAAACATCTTCGTCCTCCTCTTCCTCCTGCTCCTTATCCCTGATCACCCGCCTCAAGCTCTCCCTGGGCATGAGTACCCTCCTCCCTTCCTCTTGCTGCTGCTCCCGCTCTATTGGATCGTGGTTCTCCACCTTTCTTGTAGAACGGCAAAGTGCCTTTCGGAAACCCCTCTTAAAGTTGTCAGAGAGAAAGCCGTAGATGATGGGGTTCGCGCAGCTGTTAGCGTAGCCCAAAACCACAACAAAGTAGTAGAGGCCGTGGTACTCGGACGGAAGAGACACCAGCACGTTGATGATGTTGACGGCATAGAAAGGCAACCAGCAGACGACGAATATGGCGACCACGATTACAACCATCCGCGTCACCTTGCGCTCGGACTTTCGGCGCTTGATAGAAGTGGCGTGGACCTTTTTGCCCGAACTGCGGATCTTGAAGATGATGAGTAGGTAGCAGAGGCAGATGATAAGTAGAGGGCAGAAAAAACCGACGGTGGAAGTATAAATGATAAAGGCCGTACTCCAGATATTTGCTGGCTGGGGCCAGGCGATGTTACACGTGCCTCCCCCCTTTTGGATGTTTGCGAAGACGACAACAGGCAGGACGACGAGGAAGGATAGCGCCCACACCGTGCCGTTGACTATTTTGGCCACTTTTGGGCGCCTCCACTTGGAGGAAAGGATGGGGTGAACGACAGCCAGGTAGCGATCGATGCTCATCACTGTCAGGCAGAAGATGCTGGTGAACTGATTTATGGAGTCGACGGTCATGACCAAACGACACATGAAGGGACCAAAGGGCCACAGCTGCAGCGTGTTCTGCACTGCCAAGAAGGGCAGGCCGAGCATGAACAGTTCATCAGCGATGGCTAAGTTGAGGATGTAGATGTTTGTGACAGACTCGGTCTTGGAATAGTGCAACACGATGTGAATGACCAGAGTGTTGCCTCCGAGGCCAACGATGCACACGACGATGTACACGAGAGGGATGAGGACTGCGCCCAAGCTAAGACCGGAGGGGATGTCAGCTCCGGTAGAGTTTGTGAAATTCGAGCAGCACAGCAAAGTGTCATTCAGGATACTATTGTTAAGCATAAGTAGGAGTGAGAGGCTTTGTGATTGGCCGGCCCAGCTGTTGTTCTCCCATGGCTGCAGGCCAGGGACCCAGGTGTCACCCATGGATGCACACTTTGCCTCTTCCTTCCGCCGGCTCACCTACCACCCCGTCGTCCTGTCAAAAATAAATAAAATAAATATTAAATCACTCCAACCAAAACAGTAACAATGGTTTGTTTCTAAGATGTAAATTAAAAAGTAGTTGGAGTAGCAAATTATTAGATAATTGTTGTTGTCCTGTGTGGTGGTATTATTGCAATCTCTATTATTGAATTCAATTATAATTTTATACCGTATACTAAAATACACCCCATTTCTCTTTTGTATGGATACTATATGTCTATACATATATAAGTAAAATGCATATATACACATATATCATATTTTCAGACTTTAAGTCGCTCCGCAGTATAAGTCGCATTAGCCAGCTAGAGTGCCCTCCAGTGGTTGTCAGTGTAAAAATAACAAACATGTACATTTTCAGTGGTACAGGAGTAGCAGATACTGGTACACAAAAATAAATAAAAAAAATTCTAAAAATGTTTCCTAAATGTCCTAATTTTATGAGAAACATGCAGGAAAAGATACATTTAAAAAAATATATTTTTCCAAAAAATGTTGTCAAAATGTTTTAGTTTTTGATGGGAAATGACACGAAAAGTTCACATTTTGACAAAGAATTTTATAAAAAAAAAATTCTAAAAATGTTTCCTAAATGCCCTAATTTTATGAGAAACATGCAAGAAAAAATACATTTAAAAAAAAAAAAATTCCAAAAAATGTTGTCAAAATGTTTTTGTTTTTGACGGGAAATGACACAAAAAGTTCACATTTTGACAAAGAATTTTATAAAAAAAAAATTCTAAAAATGTTTCCTAAATGCCCTAATTTTATGAGAAACATGCAAGAAAAAATACATTTAAAAAAAAAAAAATTCCAAAAAATGTTGTCAAAATGTTTTTGTTTTTGACGGGAAATGACACAAAAAGTTCACATTTTGACAAAGAATTTTATAAAAAAAAATTTCTAAAAATGTTTCCTAAATGTCCAATTTTTATGAAAAACATGCAAGAAAAGATACATTTAAAAAAAATAATTTTACAAAAATGTTTCATCAAAATCTTTTAGTTTTTGAACAAAAAAAGACACAAAAAGTTCACATTTTGACAGAAAACTTTATGCAAAAAAAAATTTCTAAAAATGTTTCCTAAATGTCCAAATTTTATGAGAAACATGCAAGAAAAGATACATTTAAAAAAAATAATTTTACAAAACTTTTTCATCAAAATGTTTTAGTTTTTGACGGGAAATGACACAAAAAGTTCACATTTTGACAAAGAATTTTATAAAAGAAAATTTCTAAAAATGTTTCCTAAATGTCCTAATTTTATGAGAAACATGCAGGAAAAAATACATTAAAAAAAAAAAATTTTACAAAAATTTTTCATCAAAATGTTTTAGTTTTTGACGGGAAATGACACGAAAAGTTCACATTTTGACAGAAAATATTTAGAACTTGCAAAGTTGGATCAATATGCAAAAAACAATGGTCTCAGACAAAATCATTTGCATTCAGTAGTTTGAAAAAAAATCAGAATTCAGCGTTTAGAGGTTAACTTTATAGGACCCTCTTTGTCATACAGATACAATTTTTCTGCTGACTTAACTTAACAGTGATATGAAAAAAATGGAAATAATTAATTCTAACAACTAAATGTTGTACAAAAAAATGTGTGTACGCGTAATGCAAGCAAAATCATAATGCGTTAAAGCAGTGGCATCATTTAAAAAAACACATATATCTACATATACACCAAATGTATATGGAGTTTAACGCGGTGTTGTAATGACATCCACCTTCATCATCATCATCGCCACCGCACTGTCGCCGAAGTCTACGAATCTATGACTCACAACACATGAATTATTTTCAGAACTTACCGCAGACACAAAATGCTCCTGAGCCCGCTCAGACGAAACGGACGTCGGCTTCTCGCCAGGTCCTTCCTTTGTAACCTCCTCTGCTGCTTCCGTCCGTCCGAACGTGCGTTTTTCTGCCCGGACTGATTGATGCTCTCAGGGTCCGCTGCTTTGCTGCTCTCTTCTACTCTCATCCCTTGCAGACTCTCTCCCATCTGTAACTAGGTAACAGCTCTGCTGCTGCTTCACACAGCCAAGTAGGAGGTGTTAAAATCCTGGGGTTCACACACAACACACACACACACACACATATATATATATATGACACTGAGAACTGGCAAATCACAAAAGAAAATGTTTAATTGAATGACTGATTGAATAAATAAATCGATCGAATAAATCGTTTCAGGGTTATCTCTGAAACGGTCTGCGTCTATCTTCTGCTCGTTTCTTCGGGTAACCTTGAGCCGCTTTTATTGAAAATGCCTTAATAATAATAATTTAAAAAAAAAGGTATTTTCAAATATATTGTCTGATTTACTGCTCCGAGCTAACTTTTTGTTTCCCCTCGGTGTCCGTTGCTTGGCTACCTTTTCAAATAACTGACTTTTGTGGCATTTTACTTTTTTGTTCCAGGAAGAAAATATAGATGATATTTTAAAAACCCTCTTGTGACAAGTAACAGTTCAAAGATGTCGTGATACCTTACCTGGTTACTAAGCAACAGAATCGAAAGAGAAACAGGTCTTGTAACGGACGGGGGCCGTGTCTTTATTCGGTGTTTTAAAACAGTTGTGCTTTCAAGCGCTTTTAATCAGCATTGGGTGTGCTATTGATGGGAAAAATCAATAGTGTTCCTTTAAAATGTCCTCCAATCCTCCAACACACTAATGCGTGGTCTCACCAAGTGATGTCACTTTCAAATCAAGGGGACTTTCTCCAACTGAGACAATTAGGAACAACCCAACAATAATTTTACAAAAATTTTTCATCAAAATGTTTTAGTTTTTGATTTTGACAGAAAACTTTATACAAAAAAAAAATTCTAAAAATGTTCTCTAAATGCCCTAATTTTATGAGAAACATGCAAGAAAAGATACATTTAAAAAAAAAATAATTTTCCAAAAATGTTTGTCAAAATGTTTTAGTATTTGACCGGAAATGACACAAAATGTTCACATTTTGAAAAAAAATTTCATAGAAAAAAATTTCTAAAAATGTTTCCTAAATGCCCTAATTTTATGAGAAACATGCAAGAAAAGATACATTTAAAAAAAATAATTTTACAAAAATTTTTCATATAATAATAATAAGCGCAATAACACATTATTCTATTTCCATGTCCGGACCGTATTTTCCGGACTATGATTTTGCATGTTTGTATTTTTTTTTTCACACTAACAGCCACTAGAGGGGACTCTTGGCTGTTGCGACTTATACTCTGAAGAGACTTTTTGTTTTCTTCATTACGGATCTTTGGCCGGTGCGACTTATACTAAAATAGTGTTGATGTGTTTGTATATGTGTATATGTATATGTATGCTGACACATATGCATATGTAAGTATATATATGTATGTATATATATATGTATATATATATTTAGTGTCTGTAAAGGTTCATGTAATGTATCTATGGTATTGTGTGTATATACTGTATGTATATATGTGTATGTATATGTGTATATATTCACATGTATAAGTGTATCTCATATTATATAACTAGTAACTCCGAGAAATACTGGTATAAATCTGGCTGTACTACACATGCCTACATGTCTGTGTATTACTATAACTATTTATCTTTTAAAACTGTTTATGTATTTGAACTATTTATGTACTGTATTCGTTCACGTAACTGCGTAAGAAATACTAACACAGCAAAAGTTCTCCGAAAAAAAGACACAAAAAGTTCACATTTTCTCACTCCTCTCACCCCCCCCACCTATCTCGCTCTCTCGCCCTCTCTCTCTCTCTCTCTCTCTCTCTGTGTGTGAGTCACTCTGTACCACACAGCGAGACAAAAAATTTTATAAAAAAAAATTTCTAAAAATGTTTCCCAAATGCCCTAATTTTATGAGAAACATGCAAGAAAAGATACATTTAAAAAAAATAATTTTACAAAAATTTTTCATCAAAATCTTTTAGTTTTTGAACAAAAAAAGACACAAAAAGTGCACATTTTCTCATTCTCTCTCTCATTCTCTCTCTCTCTCTCTCTCTCTCTCTCGCTCTCTCTCTCCCTCTCTCTCTCTCTCTCTCCCCCTCTCTCTCTCTCTCTCTCTCTCTGTGTGTGAGTCACTCTGTACCACACAGCGAGACAAAAAATTTTATAAAAAAAAATTTCTAAAAATGTTTCCTAAATGTCCAAATTTTATGAAAAACATGCAAGAAAAGATACATTTAAAAAAAATAATTTTCCAAAAATTTTTCATCAAAATCTTTTAGTTTTTGAACAAAAAAAGACACAAAAAGTGCACATTTTCTCATTCTCTCTCTCATTCTCTCTCTCTCTCTCTCTCTCTCCGTGTGTGAGTCACTCGGTACCACACAGCGAGACATTCTGGTCGCTAATTCCCTGCGGGTCTGGAGCTTAGCATCCTCCTCTGTTGATTGGAAAAAATTGACTTCAGGTGCGTAACTCATCAGGACAGGAATCAGCACAGCTGTGCAAGAAGAGCGCTGCCAGCCGTTTGTGTGCTGTTTCACACGTGCACGCACTCGCACATGCACGCCGCCAGACACCGAAATGGACAAAACCCCACAAGAGAGCAACAACTTGTCTTGTTCATAATCTCCAAACACACCCAGCCATCTGGAATATTCAACTGAGCCTACTGCCAGAAAACTACGGCACAAAGAAAACATTTACCAACACAGACGGGGAAACTCCTCCAATCTTCACACATTTGAAGAAAAAAAAAACAAAAAAACAACCTCATTCTCTCAGGTCTCTGTCACACTTCCCCCCCTCCGCGTTGATCAGTCTCACTTGAAATATTGTCTCACCTTGCTGGTATGCCACACCATGGCGTACCAGCAAGGCCTTAAACAGTACCAGAACTTATTTTTTGATATATATATTTATAAATTATTAGAAAATAATCAGGAGTAGTCTTTTTTTATTCATTCATTCTGAGTTACGTTGTCAACTTGAGTGATTTGATTGGCTCGTCAGAGGACGCACACTCTTGAATGAAAGCAAACAATATTTAGCGACAGACTGGACTTTTAGCATTAGCATTTAGCCTGAAATGACTTCAAACGTATGCCATGAAGAGGACTGGACAGACTGGACATTTAGCAATAACTTTTAGCCTAAAGTGAATTAAAACTGTATGCCATAAATAGAACCGTACAGACTGGACTTTTAGCATTAGCATTTAGCCTAAAGTGAATTAAAATGTATGCTACAAATAGGACTGGACTTTTAGCATTAGCATGGATAGAAACCTAAAAGGACTTGTTGTTAGACCTGGAGCGCACGGATAATGGGTGGAGTAATTGAACCCAACTTAAGGAAGGAGCGAAGGATGCGTAATCAGTTTTGGTAAGCGTTTTGTCTTTTTAGTAATATTGTAATTGTATTTTGTTATTATTTATGCTTTTGTGGTGTACATTACATAGCATCTGTATCAGTATTACGCTCACTTTAGCAATGGAGTTATTATGGCTGCATAAGTTATTTAGAATATAACAACTCGTTTTACTGCATTTCTGCATATCCAGATCTGTTTACTTGTGTTTTTTTATTGTGCCTCTCCACATTTGCCCTTGTTTTCTCATTCTTAGTTGGATTTTGAGTTTGAGTTTGAACTTTTTTTCACCGTAGCAACACATGAGGCTGAAATACAAATAAATAATAAAAAATACATTTGTACCATTGATCCCATATTTGGGGAAATAGTTGTGTTAGAAGCAGATATGCCGTTAACAGGCTGCCCCTAGCAAGCGCCAAGACTCTCTACTTTCTGCTTCCGAGGCAGGCGTGCTAACTGCTGCACTATGGAACCCACTTCTGATTTGATAAATACCGTGAAAATCTGTGACTGAAAGCAGCGAAAACCGAGAAGAAAAATAATGTTCTTCTTAGTTTCAAAAGAAATGGCAAACATAGTTGCAAGCATACGCACACTGTCTCCACTCATTCTGCTGTTCAAGGTCTCAATGTTATTATTCCGCTACCATCTACAGCTCAATGCTGCCATGACTCCATTCAGACTGGAAACCTTTGTTTGCCTTTGCAGAAAGACGTCATCAAAAAAAAAAAAACATGTTCATGCTGCGGAAAGCTCAGCGGAACCATAAGTGAAATATAAAACCTGAAAATTGGAACCCCTTTTGAGGTGTAGCTAACGATGATCTAGAACTCAAATTAGATAGAAGTGATAGAAGAAACGTACAAAAATACAGCATCCAGAGAAATCATTCTCTTTTATGCTCTTTTATGCAACCATTCGTGGTAACTATGTTACAGCTTAGAATGAGTCATTTACATAGTATTAATGTTCTAAACCTGTTGTCCATACATTACCTGCCTCTTGGATGCCTAACGGAGAATGAAATGCATATCAGTAATACCAAAATGTCAGGGATGTCTGATATCGGCCTAACTGATATTATCGGCTGATTACAGTAGTCCCTCGCTGTTTCGCGGTTCATCTTTCGTGGATTCGCGGGTTTTTGAAAAATTGTTTATATAAAATATACCGTGTCCCAGATTTGGATCTGTAAGAGATGTCACAGGAATGGGACGACGATATGATTCGATATATATATATATATATATACATATATACATATATATATGTATTAGGAATGTCTGCTATTAACTTTTCGCTGATTATGCCGATATTATCCGAACACTTAGTTTCCGATTGCGATATCAACTGATACCGATTTAGGCCTGTTCAAACCACTGTATGAGTTGCTGGCACCAGCATTCTGCTAACTAAACTACATATACTGTACTACATGCTGCATATTAAAATAGATGAATAAAATGAACTGCAATGCTGCCACCTAGTGACCTTCACTTTCATATTTCATATTTGTGTTATCGGGTTTTCATATCATAATATCGATATATATCTATATATATATGTATATATATATATATATATTTATATATATATTTATATATATTTTTATATATATTTTTATATATTTTTATATATATTTATATAGTCAACAGCTGAAAGGCTATACGTCTGATTAATGCCCGTAGCATCAATCTAAGAAATAAACTGCTTTGTTTAGATAACGTACTTATGTCGTGAGGTCCAAAAAAAAAAAAAAAACACATGATTGCAAAAATATGTGCGTTTATTTTTAGCTTTAAACTACATGGAGTTCTAGACAAAAGAAATGGTTTTGCAGCAAGCTTACGCTTCCCTAGTGTTTCGAAATAAGCCTGTGCTCATAACAATAATATACTTACATCAAGGGTAAGGTTTTTTTTTGAAGACGTTTCACCTCTCTTTCAAGAGGCTTCGGGCTTATTTGCATTTGTGAGCTACTCTGAAGGTTAATTACTTTTTTCCCTTCTTCGTCTTTCTCCCGTCCCTCATCAACTGGAGTACTCACACATGCGATGATAGCAGGTTGAAAACTTTTCTTGCAAGCAACAAGAAATACATTTAGGCAATTAGGCGTAGCATTTGTACACAGGCCGGGGGACTTGATCTTAGTATACTTTTAATTGACTGTGATTGAATAGACCAACTAGCTTTTTTTTTTATATAGCTTTTTGTTCAGACTTACTTTAACTTATGTGGAATTGAAAGATGAATCTTTATTTAAATATATATTTTGTTTGGTGCAAGTAATTATTTTTTTTTATGTGCACCAGTGCACCTTTACCAAAAATATATAATTCGAGCCCAGAATATATCGCACCATATTATTATGAATTGCCCCAGAGTATAAATCCCACCGGGCCAAAAAAAGAAGAAGAAAAACTACATATATACGTATATATGTCGCTCCGGAGTATAAGTCGCACCAGTGCCCTCTAGCGGCTGTCAGTGTGAAAATAACAAGCACGTTCATTTTCATGGGTGCAGGAGTAGCAGATACTGGTAAACAAGCCTAGAGTGCCCTCTAGCACAAGGATGACAAAACTGCGATTTTTAGTTCTGGAAAATATGGTAGGAACATATATTTTCAGTTTTTATTACCTCCTTGCATGGAAAATATGGTAGGAACATATATTTTTGCATCAGATAATATTCAATGGTGGTGTTTTATTACTGATTTTCCCAGCCCAGAAAAAAAACTGTGTGTAACTTGTCAGTTGGCCGGAGCAGTTTTTTCAGTGTAGTCTGCCGTAACAGTTTTCACAGAAAAAAATAGTTACTGTACACCATTATTACCACTGACGCCTCTCATGATTAGTAATACTATTGGGCTCTGGACTGTGGATGAGCTACAGAACACGCCAGCCTTCTTTTGGTTCCAGTCAAGAAGTAGTTGTGACGGAATGGTCTACACTGCAGCTGCAATAGTCGTCTTATTCAGAACTATTTCTGTCCCTAGGTTGAAGTTTTGGTTCTTTTTTTTTTTTTTTTTTTTTCTTTTTTTCCACACCCACGGCTCCTCGAAAGCTTCCGCAGCAGACTGGATGCCAAATATCTGCCAAAAATCCTGTCGGGATTTTTAGGACAAGTTTGAGCTGCTGGATGACATTTAGGTCGAGAGGACAAATGGAAAAATATCTCCAGGGTTACTAATGCTAATACTACTGCTATTACTACGTCTAGTAATACTAATACACGCGTTATTGTGGAGTAAACTAATATTTGCATTTAGTCGGGGCAAAGAGAAAGTCTGTTCAGTCTGTGTTCTGTGATTACAGTCTCACTTGTGTCACCTGGTGCCCTGGGTATATATGCCTCTCTCCCTCACTCGGTCTTTGTCGGATCATTGTCATGTTCTATTTATGCACTCGTTGTGTATGTTGTGCCTGCCTCTTTTTTTTCACACTATCACTATCTGTGCTGCACTTGTCCACCTCTGGTCTTCTTGTTGAGTTTGAGTTTCCCTCAATGTGATCAACTTCATTTCAACTTTGAGCCGTGGTCCATCGACCAGAGTATACTGTATTTCGGGGCTAGGGAATCTTTTTTTTATGAGATGTCTACTGTACGGTTATTTAAATATTTGACTTTGTTTTTATGGCTGGTGAATATGCTGCAACGAGGATGTCTTTTGATGGCAACGTAACAAAAATAGATAGCAACAACAAGTCAAGTAACCAAAAAAAGTACCAGACAGAAAAATGACAATAAGTAGTTAAACACAAATCACCAAGATCAGTTTATATCCGCTCAGGTCGCGTCCTTCCCTACTAATGCTACCGGCAACGAAAAATAAAACAAGCATCACTGTTTGGTAAATGATAAAACAAACAAACAAACAAACAAAAGAAGAAAATGCTGCATACGTATTATGTATTTCTCACAGAGAAAACAGATGTGAAGGGCAAATTATAATTATATAACTAATTATATTACCCAATATTTTTTTTAATTATATATTTAAGTATCCATTCATATAGGACCAATCGTTAATCCCCTAGTGGCCAGATAGGTGCTCTGGACATCTTGCGTCCCGGACAGATCAATATTGTTATTATTATTATTATTTTAATCAATAAATAATTGTAGTAAGTCAATAAGTTATACATTGAACTGGTTAATATACGAGTGGTTGTTTGTCCACAAGATGGCGCTAGAATATCATAAGCGTTTGTGTCGACCGTTTGGTTATTTGTAAATGACGTAGAATAAATTTGACATTGCGGCACAATTTTTTTTTTTTTTTAAAGTTTATTTTTTTTAAAAAGGTTATTTACTTTTCACCATGAAAATCTTGTCTCAAGTGAATTTATATTGCTCAAGAATCACATTTCATGTCATACGTTTACATTCGCACACAACACAACAGTCACAGCTCCACAGAGTCAGTCTACCGACACTTTAGTCTTCTGCCTTTGTTTCCCCCTAGACATTGGAAGGTGAAATTCAGGGACAACGGCAAAACCTGATCACATTTCCTGTTGCCCTGGCAACAAAGACGTGACGTCATCCTCCCACCGAGGCTGTCCAGGTTAATGTCGGCTCGCTGTGGCTTCAAAACAAAGGAAGAACACTTAGACTGCGAAACAATGTTGAACACTGAAAAGGACAAAGTCTTTGAAAACGTATGTAGCACTTTCAGCTGCGGGATCGTTGGATCCTCTTCCGCTTGTTGTCACACGGTCAAATAAACACCAACAGACACCCAGCGACGTTTTTTTCTTGTAAAGGAAAGGTGACACTGTCATTCCCATACGCTTGCATAAATTTGAGTACTAAAATCCTAAACAAAATGACAGAATCTTGTTTCAGGACTGGATGCAGTTCTTCTTTTGATGACGTCGGCCTTTGTGTCCTGTTCAAACACAAAAGAAAGATTAAATCGTTATGACTTTTATTATTTTCAATTATTTGAAATTAAGTAGCTGTATAACTTAGCTGTATAACTTTGCTTGACCTGAAGTTAGGGAAGTTTTTGTTCAACTTATTATTATTATTTGGATGTTGATTTTAAATATCTTTGAATTAATGACATTTTGTCAAACATAACCATGATCAAAATAACTGTAATTAAGCAATATTTTTGTTTCGTGTTTGTCTTCCGTGACGTTAATTCATGTTGATAAGACATCCAATTTAGACAATTCTCATGAAATACTATGGGCCCTCTAATTGCGTTCCAACACCCACCGCGAAAAGGGAAAGTCCGCGAAGTGGAGGCGA